ATGGGTAGATAGTTGTGTGATAAACAGATGAGAGGCCTCGATGTTGTTTTTTGATTCGGTCATCTAGCGGAGTTTAGATGACGACCACAGACTTTTCTAGACAGTCCTATGGAACGCTAGCAGGTTCACCACCTGTAGGTGTTAATGAACTTGGGTGTTCATCCGCTATACTCCATCCCTCTCATGGTTGCCTTATTTGACATATATTGCCGGGAAACCCCCGAATGCATGTGTTGTTGCCCCGATGAAATATTCTAAGACTAGGTCTCTTGTGTTAGTTGTTTTAGGGACGTAAAGTGAGAATAATGAGAATGGGTAATTGGGTTACTATTGGATGGTGGAATTAAATATAATTATTTATTGTAGGTTGAAAACCCTATATGCTCACCAGGCTCCCAAGCCTAACCCACTCAGTTTTATTTGAATTACAGGAAGTGGCACAAGTGCATAAGATGGATGAATCATCAAGTTGTTTTGTTTACAAGTCTGTATATGTATATATTTGTTGAATGACTTGTAATGTTATCGTTGATGCTTTATGGTCTGTATCGGAACCTGACATCCCGAGTTTTGATTATATAATGAAAATACATTTCTTTTATGAAATGTTTTGGTAAATATTATTTTATCACGTTTTGTTTTTGGAAACAAATTCCGCAACTCTTTCAAATCAAAAGGATTTATTCTGAAATTATTTTAAAGACATAAATGAAATCGGTCTTTTCTAGCCGAGATTTTGGGGATGTCACACTTTCGGTTTAACGTATTCTACGACTTTCATTTAGATTGCTAAGGCTAAATCTCGCTCTATCGTAAATTCACTATTTATGTTTCCCGGTATCGTGTCGGTTCCGTCACGAAACTTCGACGGGTTAACTTCTTCGTTATAACTCGGATTTCGACGGTCTTTATATGTACGGAAACCTTGTAACATATACTACAACTTGATTAAGATTATTTATTCTAAATAATATTTTGTCGAAAATTCATTTGAACACTTATTGCCTCTAAATTGACTAGCCCGGATCTACGGACGTTACAAATTTGGCTATCTCCTCTCCTCTCTCTATATTCATCCTCTTTCTAGCTTAGGTGTGATCCATTAGAGGCACGACAATTGTAATGTTTGCTTCCAGTAGATCAACAAGAAGGTGTTCATTGTTATTTGCTACAATAACAATCAAGGTATGTAGTCCTTAACCCTAATTTGGTATTTTCGAAAATAGCCTAGTGTTCTTAGGATTTCCTTTTGTTGTTCATAGTTATAGGTTCAATAGTAAAAACATAGATATTTATTAGGGTTGCATGCACACTTAAGAGTTTAGGTTTGTTTGTTTTGCATAAAGAACATCAACGGTATTAGAGCTTGACTTGTTTTCTATTAAATTTGTTATAATGGATGAATTGATCAAATTAGGGTTTATGGAAATTAAACTCTAAAATGCCCAAATTTCTATTTTAAAGTTAGGTTTTTGAAACCCTAATCTTGTAGTGGTAATATGTATACAAAATAAAAAATGTAAATGACTATATATATATATATATATATATATATATATATATATATATATATATATATATATATATATATATATATATACAAAAAAAACATAAATGACTAAATATGTACAACTAAATATAAATGATTAAATATGTACACAATCTAAACTATCTTACTCTTCTAATTTATTATCCCTATCTAAAATCATATTATTTTACTTGGTGGTGTTAGACATAAAAATTAAGGTAAATTACATCAATCTTCCCTCGTGTATAAGCCAAAATGCACGTTTAGTCACTACTTTCAAAAGTTAACTCGGACCGTTCCTCGTTTGTTTACAACTTACACGCTTAGTCCCTCGTTGCTTTAAATTTGCACACTTAATCATTTACCATATTTAAAATGACTATACTACCTTTACTATTTTATTTTTTTATTTTTTTAGAATTCATTATATATTAAAAAAAATTATAACCATATACTATCTTCCCAATTTACATTTTTTCTTCTTAAATCAGTTGAAAGCATAAAACATCTTCACCACCACCATCAATTGATGACCACCGTTAGTGACCACCGCCTCAACTCTTAAGTAGATGTCACTCAACTCTGACTACCTACTACGTTTCTCCTTTCTCTCATAACATTATCAACGACCACCACCGATATAAGGTTCCCTGATAGAAGATGGTTTCTAGCTAGGGTTTCTTTTCGGAGTGCAGATCTATAACCTTCTGTTGTAGTTCCATCAACGATGGTCTCTTTGTCTCTCTTGCACCAAAAAATATTGGAAGAGGAAATCGATATGAGGTTCCTCGACAACGGCGGGATGAACTCCAAACCAAACCAATATAAAAAAACCATAATTGGTTCTAGAAATCAAAATAAAAATGGTTGCAGAAGTTAAAGTCGAAATTGAAATCATACAAATGGTGGTAATGGTTGCTCTATTACCTCTTCGTCGGATATGGACTCAGGTTTAGAGAACGTTGAGTGGTCAACTAGTTTCAGACCATGGGCGTTGACTAAAGAGTCCATATCGAAAATGTTTGTTGGTTTGAGATGGAAGGCTCACTGATGAGAAGCCATTGTAGCCGGAGATTTAGAGGGAGATGTATTGATTTCTTTGTTTAACATCTTGAAGAGGGTTTGGATTTTGGAGTCGGTGGATCTGATTTCACCTACTTGAAGAGGTTTTGGACTTTGGTCTCAACGGAGAAAGGAGGAGGAGTGTCGAAGAAAGTATGAGGAGGAGTGTTGTTGGGTGGTTACAGGCAGTGAGTGTGAATGAGGGAGACGGAGAAGGAAATAGAGGGAAGGGGAAAGAGTGGGATATTAACTCTTTTTTAATCTAAAACCTAATAAATAAGTAACAGAAAGATAAAAAAGAAATTATTCATGGCAAAATAGTTTTTTATAGCCATATGGATTAAGCGTGCAAGAAAAAAAAACCAGTGACGATCTAAATTAACTTTTGAAAATAAGGATTAAACGTACGTTTTGGTACATGCACGATGGACGAATAATACAATTTACTCTAAAAAGTACAACAAATTTAACATAAAATTATACTTACAGAATTTTCCATTACATATGTATGACAGTTCACAACAGTATACCTACTCACAAGTCCAAAATTATATACTAAATAAAAAGGTTCCTTTTATTGAAGAATCAAATTCCTTTCTAGCAATTTCCACGTTATCCTAATATCCTTTATGCTTGAGCTAAACACCAAAAAAGGTTCGCTCATAGTTGAAGCTAGAAACGATATACAACTTTAAATAACTTTTATAAAAGCACACAATTTACAAGCTTTACCTCCCTATGATCCTAGATAACCATTTAAAAATGTTTTTTTTTTATCTAAATGATAGATGTCAAAGATCCTCTTTTCTATACTCTTAGATTATTATCACTATTTTCTTTTACGTATGTTACCTTAGTACACAAGTTTGGTGTAGCAGGTAAACTTGTGAACCAAGACATTATATGTATAAGAATAACTATCTTAGCGATATAGATTTTTAATTTTAGATTTTTTTATTATTTTAAGACTTTAATGTATATGAATTTCTATTTAATGTCATATTTAACTATTGTTTAATTTAAAAACTATCTATCTGACCATTTTTCAATTCCATTAAGATTGTTTATTCACATAACAAACATTTATCTTTAATATAACAAATACTTCGATTTTATATAACTTTTGGTTAAATGTATTTTTAAATATTATTTTGAATTATTGTGATTTTTAAAGAACTTAAAAAAACATTTATTTATTTTTTGATTATTTTAAAAAATATCTATATTTTGGGGACATATATAAGTTTATTTGACATTTTAATTTTGATTTTATATGTATTATATTTACTATCTTTTAGTTATTTAAAAAACTAGTTTTTGGACATATTTTAGTTATTTTATTTTTTATAAAGAAAAATATATTTAACATAATATTGAAAATTAATAAATAAAATATATTACGTTGCAAGTTGAAAAGTTATAACATTAATAATTTTCCTTAATTACATTAAAAAGATTTGGTTGATTGCTACGTTGAACAATAAGATGAAATTAAAAATAATGGTTATTTAAAAACTCATCACAATCATGACCAAATAATTCATTTAGTTTGAAATTTTACATAATTTTATTCATGTGCACAACTCAACTAGAGGTCGTTGAAATCATGCGGGTTAAGATTAATATTTATCTTAAACCATTTCAGTTTTAGTTTTATTTTGTGAATTGTTTTTAACCATTATAACTAATACATCTCTTCGATTTATGCTGTCTAGTAGATGTCTTTTTATAACATGCTTCAAGATAATAATAATGTTTAATACCAAATTTTCAATTTACTGTAAAATTTATTATTTTATATTTGATAGTATTTTTTAACAATAAGTCAATAACAATACAAAATTTCAATTATTATTAAGCAAAAACTAAATGTTAGAGGTTTACAACGTTACAACCCACAACAACATTATTACAGTATCAAAATAACGAATTTAACGAGTAGTCGACTTTAGATTTTTTAATCCAATGAAAGGAAAGGAAATACACCTCCCTAACAAGTATTTCATAGCTTTTCTCCTTACGGTTGAAAATTAGTTGATTTTCTTGCCTGAGATGGCCTAACTTTTGTTATTCTTTTAACCACATTTATTTATTTATATTTTAATTAAGTTTATCTATTTTATCTATATTTCAACTATAATATTCTAGTTTGCACTTTACACAACACGACACGCATACATTTGCCTGAAAAAAAATATTTATATTATCTATTTACAGGTTTTACCTCCGTCCCATCGTCGTGCTGATAGCTATTGTTGCCAGCATACACATTATCTCGAATACGTTGAAAGAATGATTTGTCTCGGTTTTATAAATAAATGTTAAATTTACCAAACTGATTGTTTTTTTCCCATAAATAGTTTTAAGGTCTCCACCCATTTTATTATGTATCATATATTATTACCATATATGATACTTTATTTTATTTGATAAAAAATGAGTAGCCCTAGCCAACAGTTTATGTTTTTCCGCTTTAACCTCAACCAAATCTACACCTTCATTATTAATATTTTATATCCAAATTCACAGCGAAAACTCAGCTGCAAAATCCCAAGAGAAAAATAATACGAATATACGATTCCCCATTTCTTGATTACCGTGCCCCCAAAACACAGAGACATATTGTTGGTGTAAAATTTCTTGGTATCGTGTTGTTGTCTTCTTGCTATACCTCTGCGGAAAAACCCAGAATTGGGTCCATATTTGATGGATCTCTGTTGATCCAATCATTTGGGTATTAGTGCTTTTTGTAGTGTGTGCTTTTCTTTACTTTTCCCCTTTGGCCTTTCTTCAAGTCGTTCCCCTAAGTCGTCTCCATACCTTGTCGAGTTACAGAAAGAGCAGGCGATAAGTTATCTCTTATTTTTCAGGTGTGGGTAACTAGGTCATAGGGTTGGAATTGGGTGCTATTTTACTTGATTGTGCCTAGTGGTGTGGTTTTTGCAAAAAGGTCCTCGTTAAATCAGGAATATGTAAAGAAAGCTTGAAAAGGGGTTGTAATGGTGGCAACTGAGGAAGGTTTTTGCATTCAGATGTACACGAGACAAGTGGCTCTCTTTCTCTCTTCGCAGAGACAGCAGTCGATATTTACTCCATTCTCTCTCTACGGCTCTCACTAAACTCGATACACACTTGACAGCTCAACCATCACCTTTTTCTGTATCTCACCGCTAACCATTTCCTCCTAATTTTGGCAAAAATCCAACTCAAGATCTCAATTTCCTTTTCTGGCTTTTCTCGATTTCAATCATGGGTAGCTATCTTTCTCCTAAATTCGTATAAAAATCTCGATTTTTTTTTAAATTGTTTTAGCTCTCTATCTCAAGTGCAAATCAATGGCGGCAATCCTTCGGTTCCGAAAGTTGTGTTTCATTGAGCCAACATTGAAAAACACTGGATCATCTGAAACCCCAAAAGACGAGAAACAAGAAGAAAGTCGAACAATTACAAAACACGAGTGCGATAAGACCAAGAAGAATAAGAAGATGCAACGGTGGAAGTGTATAGATTCGTGCTGTTGGTTCATCGGGTGCATGTGTACTACTTGGTGGCTACTCTTGTTTCTGTACCATTGTCTACCTGCTCATTTGTCTGGGTTCAAATCCCCTGAATCACCTGGTGTAAGGCTCAAAAACGAAGGGTTAACCCCACTCCACCCTGTCGTTTTGGTCCCTGGAATCGTCACCGGTGGCCTTGAGCTTTGGGAAGGTCGACCTTGTTCTCATGGCCTTTTTCGCAAACGCCTTTGGGGTGGTAGCTTTGCCCAGATCTTACAGAGGTTTTTTTTTTTTTTTTGTAACTTCAATTAACCACCTTCAATCTTGATTTCCAAGGAGCAAAAAAATTGAATTTTAATACGACTTGTTTGTTTAAATTTTAGGCCATTGTGTTGGTTGGAGCATTTGTCACTCGACAATGAAACAGGACTCGACCCGCCAGGCATTCGGGTCAGACCGGTTCCGGGCCTTGTTGCAGCAGATTATTTTGCTCCTGGATATTTCGTTTGGGCTGTTCTTATCGAGAATTTGGCTAAAATTGGGTACGAAGGGAAGAATATGTATATGGCTGCTTACGACTGGAGGCTTTCTTTTCAAAACACTGAGGTAAGGGATCAAGCGCTAAGCAGATTGAAGATCAACATCGAGCTAATGTACGTAACAAACGGTAACAAAAAAGTGGTGGTGGTGCCACATTCAATGGGTGTCATCTACTTCCTCCACTTCCTCAAATGGGTGGAAGCACCACCTCCGATGGGTGGTGGCGGTGGTTCAGGGTGGTGCGACAAGCATATCAAAGCAATCATGAACATCGGACCGGCGTTTCTTGGTGTCCCCAAGGCAGTTAGCGGGATGCTATCAGCTGAAGGCAAAGACGTTGCTTTTTTCAGAGCCATGGCTCCTGGTGTGTTAGATTCAGAGATTCTAGGGCTTCAAACTTTAGAACACATGATGCGTGTAGGTCGAACATGGGACTCTGTGATTTCACTACTTCCTAAAGGAGGAGACACCATTTGGGGTGACTTAGATTCCTCCCCAGAAGATATCCAAACAGTAAGTAGTTATCAGAGACAAAACAACACGAAACATCAAATCGAAATTAAACAAGAAACGAAATACGGAAGAATCATTTCATTTGGGAAAACAGCTTCCGAGCAACATTCTTCAAATCTCACAACTCATGACCTTGTAAAAGATAAGTTATTGGATTCAGGTGGAAAGTGTGGTGAGGTTTGGACTGAATATGGTAAGATCAGCCGTGAGAACATCATGAAACTAGCAGATAACAAAGCGTACACAGCCGGAACATTGATCGATCTACTACGGTTTGTGGCTCCAAAGACTATGAAACGGGCGGAGGCCCATTTCTCACATGGAATAGCATCGGATCTTGATGACCCGAAATATTCCCATTACAAATACTGGTCAAACCCATTAGAGACAAAACTACCACATGCTCCAGACATGGAGATTTACTGTTTATACGGGGTGGGACTTCCAACAGAAAGATCATATGTGTATAAAGTCTCACAGTCTGACAAATGCAATACAATTCCGTTTCAGATTGACAGCTCAGCAGAGGGGAAGTGGTTACGTGGCGGAGTCTACTTTGTTGATGGGGATGAGAGTGTACCGGTTTTGAGTGCGGGGTTTATGTGTGCAAAAGGGTGGAGAGGGAAAACAAGGTTTAATCCATCTGGCAGTAGGACGCATATACGGGAGTATAGACATAAAGCTCCGGGGAGTTTGCTGGAGGGGAGGGGTTTGGAAAGTGGGGCCCATGTTGATATAATGGGGAATGTGGCGTTGATTGAGGATGTTTTGAGGGTGGCTGCCGGAGCTTCTGGGGAGGAGATAGGCGGTGATCGGATATATTCTGATATATTGAAGATGGCAGAGAGAGTAAATATCAAGTTGTAGATGCTTAGTTTTGTGGTTTGGGGATGATCTGCAATGTTCAACTAAGGGATGAGAGGTATGATCAACGGCAGTGATGGTTCACTGACTATCATTGCAGAAAAAGAAGAAAACATATCATCATCATCATCATCATCATCAGATCTAGAGAGAGAGAGAGAGAGAGAGAGATGTTCAATATCACCGTAGTTTTGTCTTTAAACTTTAGTTGTTCAAATAAAGTGCTCGAGTGAGCCGTGTTAATCGTGTGCTTGTGAATACAATCTTTTTAGGGGTGTTATGGAAAATGGACACGTGACAATTTTGATACATTGGACAGTTTAAGTATGCCTTATTTCTAACGAATCAAATAGAAAAAATAACAAATTAATTTAAAAACAAAGTCAAAAGTCGTTCAAAACCTATTTTAAAGTTTAGAGCACGGTAGAGTAGGTTTTTTTAACACAAAATAGCAACCAATTTACACTATTCAGTGACATGTCAAATTTTAAACAAACGCCTACACCATTCAAGATCAACAACAATATATTACTTACAAGTTTTTCATGCAAGCATCTTCTCTGGTGAACCTTTCACATCTTTGATCACCAAACTAGAGTTCATTAAAAAGTCAAGAAATCAGTATCAATTCAAATATTGCTTTACATATTTTGATCATTAAACTTTTCACATACAAGAAAGTAATGAAGCAGCTAGAGAAATCGACTTACTTGCTATATTTACAACAGCAGTCCTTTAATCTATCAAGATCACGTTCATTCACCCCAAATTTGCTAGGGCTAACCCCATCCTTTAATGCTAACCATTTACTTACAATACAATCAATCCTTTTCAGCTGTTAAAAAAAATGATCAAGGGATGCACAAAATTTTGAAAAAATCAGAATTCAATTAAAAAAAAAAAAAGGTGAAATTCTATAAATGAAAGGATACATACTGCTGTAGTTCTTATGGAAGCGGTTGAAGTTTCTTGATCTTTATTTGTAGCAGCTAACTGGTGATCAAGGAGCTCTTCTTCTATCAAATCTGATTTGCTTGATAGAATCGATACATATTGTTGGAGATTTAAAGAGCTTATTTCTCCTTCTTGAATTTGACCCAATAATCTTGAAATGATATCCCAAACTGCATTTCTAGCTTCTAAATCATCCGAAGCAAAAGGGAATATATCCACAAGACCCTGTAAGAAAGGCAAATCTGGATGTATCTAAAACGTCATTATCGATTTCAAGCTCCGTGAGGGTAAATTCGTCATTAAGTCTTCTCCAATATATAAGAAATTTTACCTTGATTTATCTCTAAAATCAGATCATCAGAGTCACTCAAAAGATTGGCAATTAGAACAGCAGCTGTCACACATGAGGTAGCTACCTCAATTTTATCACCAAGTTTAATCAGAGTGGCAAGAAGATGAACAAGTTTTTTACTGGAACAAAGCTCTTGTGAATAGCTGTCTATTACAGTTAGTGCTTCAATAGCCCGAAGAATGATATCAAGAACTGGGTACCTGATAGTGATATTACAACCATTCATATTATAAAAAATAAAATTAACAAAATGTTATGGATGACAAGTCAGCAACTAGATAATAAGACAAAAAAAAACATGTACCTTTCGGGTATTCGTTCATCTCCCACAACTTTGGTAATCTCAAATGCCAAGAGGTTAATTAGAATTACTGGAAGACCTAATTTCACCAAGTTTGGGAGAAGAATAGCTTTTACTTCATCTTGACTTTCTGATATAGTCAACAGAAAACCTACACTCTTTAAAAACATGCAGTTGGTATCGAAAATCTTGGAAATATTCATGATCAGAAATCAAAATACAATAATCAAAATAAAAATACCTTTTCTATAAGTTGTGGATTCAATGTGTTTTCTACAACCCATAATACACGGGATAAAACATTCTCAGGCTGCAGGGCTTTAGCCCAAGTTATACTTTCATTACCTTGAAGACACAAAGTTAATAACCTGTGGAAAATTAGAGAAAAAAGGATATTAGATATTTAGATTAATATTTGAAAATCAATTCTTCAAGTAAGAAATTATTACCTAAATTCTTCACACAAGCATGGAGTGTCATCTACAAATAGTTGTTCCACAATAATTTCAACCAATCCTTTTACAGAGGCGATTTGTTTGCGTGATACTTCATGGCAAGCAAGGTTCCCAATAATTCCAAGACTAATCTCCTGCAAAAAAGATAATTAAATTGAGAATGAGAAACTTAAGTCTATATATTTATGCAAAGCAAAAGGGAATGTAACCTACAGTGACACGTGGTGACTGGGAAACAGTCAGAGTTGCCAAGATAACTTCAAGAACCAGATTTTGAACCTACATGTGAGATTTGAACGAATCAATGATGTGATAAAAACAAGAGGATGGAAGACTTTATCAGAAAATTCATGTACCATGAGTTCAGCATGTGTTTTGCTTGTTGCAAGGTCCCATAATATGCATCCATGTTCTTCCCAAGATTCGTCTCCAACTAAGGGATCCACATGCTTCTCTTGATCATTAGAGTTGTTGATCTGATCAATGATGTCCATGGTCTCATGTCTGTTTTCCAAAATTTGATCTTCAGCTTGTGATACTAAGCTTCCATTTGTTCCTTCAGTAGCGGAATCACAGCCACTAATCATGTCAGAAGTAGTAGTCGTATTCATGGTTGGTGGTAGAAGTTTCCTTATCAAGGATATAACATAACTAGGATCAACCGTGGTTGAGATGTCGAATAACTGTAGAAAGTCATAACAAAAAAGTTTCACTCTGTAATACTTGTAATGTTTAATGTAGTTATCACAGAAATCTATAAAGAAAAGTGTAGAATCCACTATGACTCTGTACTTTTAAAGTGAATATTGATTTTTTCATTTCTCAAATGTAGAGATCGATACAGATTTGTTCCGATTTAACACAGAAGGCTCTTCTATGGTAGATGCTTGCTACAAACTTCAATACGATTACCAAGTATTTACTCGAAGGTATAATATTCATGGCAACTTTTAGAAGAACGAAAGAGATCATTGTTAAGGGATTAAAGAAAAATCAAACAATTCGTGCATTATATAAAATTTTCGAATCAATATTTTTTTTGTTACAGTGCCCAAAATTTGTCTACACCCCTTCATTTTTTTGTGATTTTATTCCTTCATAACTAAGAAAACTCATAGTTAGCAAAAGCATTCATCACTGACACAATAAGAATCAAATTATGGACTTCTTATTTTGTCTTTTTGTACAAAAAACTTTTTGCATCAAATGCAATAGAGTTCATATACGTAATAGGATGCATTTTATGCAGAAATAACGATGCTACCTCGTCGGCGGGAGCAGGTGGGTGGTGCGCTGGCTGTTCGATTCCTATTTCTTCTTCTTCTTCAGTCACTGACTGCGATTCTATCGACATTTTTAGGCTTCAGAGTTCAGCCTGGGGGGTTTTGAAAAGGGCTCGCTGTTGTTTATAACTTCTTTCCGCTTTCTATTTCCCAGTCCACTTATTTATTAAATACAAAAACTTTAAAATTGATCTCAATGTTACTCAATATATTTTTTGATTTGTATATATACTTAGTTATTGATAATTTTTTATCCATATTTATCCTTTAACCTGTTAAACTGTATATATTTAGTCTTTATAACCGGCTGTTCCAGGTTAACCGGTAAAAATGATTTAATAGGGTAATATATTTCTCACTTTGTACACATTTAGTCTTTAATTTATTTTTTGTTGCAAAATAAGTCATTTCTGTTTTTATACTCATTCAATACTTATGAATGATTTCTTTAGGTTTTTCTTACGATCATCTTACATGGTATAGCCATATGATAGTGAGATAAGTTGAGGTTGTCTTACTATATGTTATAGGGCAAGATATCAGGTGTAGACCGGTTGTAAGTCGTAGGCACGGAGGCTTGAAAAGAACGATTGGGTTAAAGCGGCATGCCGACAAACCCTGGATATTCAAGTCCAATGACTGATTGGATCGGTTGCATGTTGACATTCTAGTCCGATGACTGATTGGCCAATGTATTTTATCTTATGAGTGTGGGCCCGTTATGCATGATAATACGTTTGTTGTATCGAGTATTTTGGAGGAAACTCACTAAACATTGTGATTACCCAGTTGTTTATGTTTTCATGTTCTATCATTGATCGTGGGAAGGCGAATGCATTACTGTACACATTCATCAATAGTATTAAGGATTTCATATTTCTTATATTACTTTGATTTTCGATAAATGTATTTTGGAATAAAGATTTTTTTTTTCTTAATAATGGATTTATAATAAGGTACTTTTGACTTATTTAAAAATGAAAATTTTTTGTTGTGAAAATGAGACGTTACGCATAAACATCAAAAAGTTTCAAACACTTCATCAATGATTGTCCCACGTAAGATATCGTGAGAAAAACCTATATAAATCATTTATAAGTATTGAATGAGTACAAAAACAAAATTACTTATTTTGAAAACAAAAAAATATTAAGGACCAAATGTATACAAAAATATTAATGACTAAATGTATACAAAATGAGAAATATATTATCATATTAAGTTATTTTTCCCAGCTAACCTGGAATAACCAGTGGGTAAATGTGGACGAAAAAACTCAATTACCAAATGTATACAAATAAAAAAAAAATATATTACCTTTTTAGGTCATTATACTATGCAAAAAACTATAGATATAATTAATTAGAAAAAAGATTCTAATTTAGATGGAATGTCTACAATCAAAAAAAAATTATGGTTTTGATCTTTGAAAAACTTAAAATGTCTACTTTGCCCTTTTAATTTCATTTTTGTATATTTTTATATTTTCTTTAATACTTTAGTAATTAAAAATTAAAAATAAAAGAAAATATAAGAATATACAATAATGAAATTGGCATAGTAAACATTTCAAGTTTTTCAGGGATCAAAACCACGGAAATTTTCTAATTTTAGATCTTCCATGCAAATCAAAAACTTTTTGAACTGTATCTACATTTTTTAAATACCATAGAGACCAATTTTACAATTGTGTCTTTAGTAAATTGTTTTTTCTTATAAGTTTACAAAGATGGTCCATGTTGACTTGTTGGCACAAGTTGAAGTTTTAAAAGTTTGGCACCATATTCATCATATTTTCATTTTTTTGGTATAATTTAATTCCTAAATTGTTAGATCTAACTATATAACTGTTAGATTTTCATATACTCCATGACCATTTTTCTTCTAACCAAATTGGTAGAAACTATAAACTATAAGGCCAAATTTGTAATATACTCATATTTTTATACAAAAGCTTTTTCTTAAAATGAACCCACTATCTTACATCCATCCTCTAACCGTTTATGGATTATATCCTTTGAATGGACTTCTGCACTAAGATCCTTGTTGTAGCACTTTTATAACATCAAACTAGTAAAGGATCCCCCGCTTTGCGGGGTTGGTAAGTTTTTGATGATTTATTTCGGATTATCAATTATTTCTGCTGTGGTTTTGAAATATATTGATAATATTTGTTAAGAATTAACGAAAAATTAGAGGAATTTTTCATGTTTTCACTTGCCATTTCTGTAATGGGTTGGGTTAGAAGTAGTTCATTCATATTTTTTTTTTTAATCGGGAGTATGCAGAAAGTGACGTCAAGTCTTATTTATTTAACGTGAAGACGAAGTTCATTACATTCGTTTAAACCTACTGGATAAAAACATTGATAGAAAGTAAGTCTAGTGTTAGCATCTATTTATCCGGTGCCTCCTTTATTACATGTTTGTATTTTCCAATCCTTTTTGTGGATTGATCCAAGCATAAAGGAGATATTGTCTTGCATGGAGAGGTCCTCAACTTTGGCTTCTTCAAGTATGTTTTTTAAAATTTCATAATTGTCGTTATTGTACTCTGTTTTGTCTTCTGTGGTAAATCTTTCTTCAATTCTGGTTTGGACTGCTTCCATGAAATCTCCTACATCGTGGAGGTAGGCGATAAGCGCCTATATGACGTTTTCGACTTCTTTGTTTTTCATTTTCTTGGTTTTTTGGCTGGGATTGGTATTTTCTTGTGAACATGTGCTGGGGGATTGGGTATTTTCTTATATAGTATTTTAAGTTGGGAGGTGGGTTTTGATAATTGACGTGGAGGTATGTATCGGTTTGTGAGTGTCATTAAATTGTTGTAGAATAAATTAGTTATGCTGTGTAAGTCTATTTGGATGATGCCGTGGCTCTTTCTGATGGTTGTAGCAATACTTTGTATGGTAGGCTATGATGGTGGGTGTATTAGTTTGGGGGTAAAATATGTTTATTTTACCTTTATAATTTTACCGTAATTTTGTAAGAATCGTGTGAGTGTTTTTGGTGCAATATTTTTTACAACAAATACTCACAGAAAATAATAATTTTTTCACCCAATTCTGGTTTGGACTGCTTCCATGAAATCTCCTACATCGCGGAGGTAGGCGATAAGCGCCTACATGACGTTTTCGACTTCTTTGTTTTTCATTTTCTTGGTTTTTGGCTGGGATTGGTATTTTCTTGTGAACATGTGCTGGGGGATTGGGTATTTTCTTATATAGTATTTTAAGTTGGGAGGTGGGTTTTGATAATTGACGTGGAGGTATGTATCGGTTTGTGAGTGTCATTAAATTGTTGTAGAATAAATTAGCTATGTTGTGTAAGTCTATTTGGATGATGGCGTGGCTCTTTCTGATGGTTGTAGCAATACTTTGTATGGTGGGCTATGATGGTGGGTGTATTAGTTTGGGGGTAAAATATGTTTATTTTACCTTTATAATTTTACCGTAATTTTGTAAGAATCGTGTGAGTGTTTTTGGTGCAATATTTTTTACAACAAATACTCACAGAAAATAATAATTTTTTCAATCAAATCGGGTGTAAAAACTTCATAATCTGCAAATAATATAATTATTATTAAATAGTTTTGGAGTAAGGGTTACATGTTGATTTTTAGTTAAAAGTAGTTTTCTAAGTAGGGGTAAAACAGTCATATGTGTTGTAATTTTTTTAATAATTTTTTCAATCAAATCGGGTGTAAAAACTTCATAATCTGCAAATAATATAACTATTATTAAGTAGTTTTGGAGTAAGGGTTACATGTTGATTTTTAGTTAAAATTAGTTTTCTGAGTAGGGGTAAAACAGTCATATGTGTTGTAATTTTTTTTAAGAACACATAGTCACACAACAAATTATTGTAGTTTCCTTTGTAAAAAATGTTACAAAGAAAACTTACTCAAACATTACAAAGAAATAAAAAATGTTAAAAATCATATTGTTATAAAGTACAATGCTATTTTTTTGCATATTTTCTAAAGTTTTATTGTTAAATTTGATCTTTCTATAAAAAGACCAAAATGACCTTTATCCAAAAAAAAAAAAAAAAAACTTTTCTTATCTTTTTAACTACGCATTTGCACGTATCACATCTAATAATTTTTTTAATCAAATCGGGGCAAAATAGTTTTTAAGGAAATATGTCATTGGAATGAAAATTAGATTTGTTAATAACCTTTTCTTGTATGGCAAAACAGTTACATGTGTTGCAATTTTTATTTTAGAACATATAGTCACATAGCAAAACATTGTACTTTCCTTTGTAAAAAATGTTAAATCATATTTTTTTTATAAAGTACAATGTTATTTTCTGTATATTTTATAAATGTGTATTGTAAAATTTTATTTTTCTATAAAACTACCAAAATGCCCTTCTTCCATAATATGACCCTGTCTACTATTCTAGAAAACATGTTGTTTGCGTTTTATTAAAGTTAAGAGTAGTTTTCTGAGCAGGGCAAAATAGTCATATCCGTTGCAAATTTTTTTTACAACACATAGTCACATAGCAAAACATTGTATTTTCCTTTGTAAAAAATGTTAAAAATCATATTGTTATAAAGTACAATGCTATTTTTTTTGCAGATTTTCTAAAGTGTTATTGTTAAATTTGATATTTCTATAAAAAGACCAAAATGCCCTTTATCCAAAAAAAAAAAAAACCTTTTCTTATCTTTTTAACCACCCATTTGCACGTATCACATCTAATAATTTTTTTAATCAAATCGGGGCAAAATAGTTCTTAAGGAAATATGTCATTGGAATGAAAATTAGATTTCTTAATAAACTTTTCTTGTATGGCAAAACAGTCGCATGCGTTGCAATTTTTATTTTAGAACACATAGTCACACAGCAAAACATTGTAGTTTCCTTTGTAAAAAATGTTAAATCATATTTTTTTTATAAAGTACAATGTTATTTTCTGTATATTTTATAAAGTTCTATTGTAAAATTTTATTTTTCTATAAAACGACCAAAATGCCCTTCTTCCATAATATGACCCAGTCTACTATTCTAGAAAACATGTTCTTAATAAAATACGTCACCGGAATGAAATTAAGATTTTTTGCATATTTTATGTAGTTTTATTTTTTGAATATTTTCTAAAGTTTTAATGTTAAATTTCATTTTTATATAAAAAGACCAAAATGCCCTTTATCCAAAATAAAGACGAAAAATAACTTTTTGTGTTATTTTTAACCCACAATTTACACATATCACATTTAATAACTTTTTTAATCAAATCGGGGCAAAACAGTTTTTAAGAATCTGTAAACAGAGATACAAACTTTCCCAAACAACACATACTCATACAACAAAACATTGTACTTTTCCTTGTAAAGAATGTGAAAAATCATATTTTTATAAAGTACAATGTTGTTTTATGGATATTTTCTAAAGTTTTATTGTGTCAACATCGTTTTTCTATAAAAAAAAAACCTATAATTATTGATTTGCAGTAAATTAATTAACTTTTAAGATTTTCTTTTGCAGACCAATATTTCCGAGTCTAAAGTTAATTGTTCTAAACCGGTAATCACATAATTTGCAGAATAAGTCATTTTTAACTCGATAATCACATGATTTGCAATAACTCATTATTAACTCAAAAGACTTTGCTAACTTGATGTAGAAAAGCACGTATTAGACTGTGATGATGCAGAGATTTGGAACACTATGATGTGAACTTGATCTTTGAAGAAATAGTGATAGCACACGAATTGGAATGTAGTTATACATAACTTATAAAAATTATTTTGAAAAGGATATCAAAGTTTAATTTGAAAATATATAGTATTCAAAATATTAGCTATGAATGAAAGGGATTGCCGTGAATTTCAAAGGTAGCATATGATAAGTAAACATTTGTTGTTTTTATTTTGAGTTTTATTTTGTGTGTAAGGATTTTGTAGTGAGGTGAGTATGATTTAATTTTTTTCTTACATGTTGATTATGTCGTAAGTTTTTATTTGTATAAGATGACTAAAAAGATTTTATTTCTGAGTTGATATTGCTTACTTTATGTTTTGTTTGTGAATGATTTATTGTGTGGTAGGAATGGCGTTTTTTTTAACGATATTACTTTCTTTTGGAATATTTAATAATACTTTTATACAAAAGGTTCATTACTTTGTGGAGTATGTGTTTACAATCCATAGTGCAAAATGACGGTTACATGTTTGTAATCCTGATAGAGTACAGTTGTTAGAGGGGTAAGTGGTTTACATATAACCTACTGCCTTTTATATCGGATGGTACATAAGCAGAAATTTGGGATGACAACATAAGGTGAGGTTGGTGTTTACTCTGCTCTACGTCCTCGCTTCGGTTGTTTCTTCAGTACAGATTCAGCTGTATGGTAATAAAAACTGAGTTATAAATTGACATTTTTTATCCAAGTAAAGTGGATATGTAAGTACCAGCGGTGTCGTATGTCAATGTTCTTGCTGTGTGTGATGTTTGTGATGTTGTAGATGCCATTCCAAGTATAGGATTGATTTCAACATTTGCGGAACCTTGAAGGTCTGCTGGAGTGATTGGTGTTGCTGTCGTTGTAGTTGTTGAAACTTGTGTTGGTGTGACCGGTGCGACTGACTGATTAACCATGGTTACTTCATGTATGTCAACGATTATGAAACGAATGTTTTCAGTTGTAGAGCCTTTTAGCATTTGTATTGACATGGTCTTTGATGTGCCCTCATGATCATTGATAAGTGTTGGTGGGAGCTTTTTATTGTTTTCATGATCATCAGCCATTAGTTTTTCTGGTGTAGCACCAATTAGTTTTTGAGCCGCGCCATCGGTCATGATTGTAGTTAGAGAGCCCGTTGGGTCCGTCAGAGTTGTAATTAGTTTATACCTGTATGGGGTTATTATGTGTTAATAAAACTTAGCATAAATAACTTTTGCTGGTATTACATTTCTGGGACATAGTGATATTTACAGGAATATGGGTGAGGCTGTTTTTCCATGAGCACTGCAACTCCAGTAATTGCTTTTCCTGAAAATCGGATCTTTGCAAGTTGTGCATAGTACTTGGAACCAGCAGTCTTTGAATGTGATTGTTGTCAGTGTAGCTTGTACATTGAATGTTTTATCCTGTATTTATAGATTCTTATATCATTGTAGTTTTGGTAATAGTATGTCAGAAGGTTGTTATAGAGGTAGATAACATACCACCAGTTCACTATGAATCTTGTTGTTTAGCTCATGCAGTGTTGTTAATGGTCCAGATGTTGTGGAAGTTGGGGGTGTAGGGCCAGTGAAGCTACAACCGGATTTGAGTTGTGAATGTATGATATTAATATATAATAATCTACCTTATCTTTGGTAAAGTATAACAGACCTGTGGATTAGAAGTGTTGTCTCCTGGATTGGGGGATTGACATATACGTGTGTGGCAGGTGATGATCCGAACCTTAAAGTACCTGCTATGTGTATTGATGAAGGCTTTATATTTGTAATGGCAACAACTGTTGTCGCAGGAGGGGTTGCCAACTCTTCAGGTCTGAATTTCTCACGAACATCAATACACTCTTTCCATAAACTGATCGCTATTTCATCACCACTGAATTTTATATACATAGTAAACATTAAAAAAAAGTAAAAGTAATCATAAGAAAGACTGGGCTTTGTTAAATGTTGTCAACCTTTCGTCTGCAAGAATTAGAAGAACGAATTCTTCTCCATTACGCTTTGTGCAATTTCTCATTTTTTTTAGCACGCCAATGAAATCTGTTAGTTCAAATAGAATGTAGTTAAAACTGGAAGTAATATTAATATTACATCTTTTATGTATATACCTGGATAATACGACGGGTTTTCACCTAAGTTGAGGAGATCTGTTTTCGAGGCAAACCGGAACCAGGTTGCAGGGATTGTGACAGTGTCAGGAAGAGGAGCAATTATGGAAATCAGGCCAACATCCATATAGATTTCGTTTTCTAGAACTTTCTGATACTCGTCTAAATAGGGACAGGTGTACTCTGATATTGTGTAGCAGTTAGAGATATGGAAAATTGATTCTATGTACCCCTGATTTGTTCTTTGTCCCAGAATCTGTATAGCATCTCCCTAATGTATTGAAATACAGTTAACTGTTAATAACGGTCAGTAATCATAGTGTATTTTTTTAATGAGGTTTGATTTGCTTACGTATTTGTCCACACCGAGATACCATGTTTCATGCCGACGGTACTGTGGTTTCCATTTGCGCAGAATTCGCACCTGTAATGCTCCTCCTTCGCATGCATACTTCAGGTCAGATATGTTAGTCATGTCTCTGTTAATTCAAGCAATAAAGGATGGGTTAGTGATTATATATAATGATATTAATGTAAAGAGGCACAATACAAGTAAAAGTGAATTTTCAGGGAAAGAGTACATAGGTAGATAGTAATGGAATTATCAACCTCATTACAGTTAACTTTGGATAAGAAATCTTTAAAAACGACATTTTTTGTTTGATTATGAGGTGTACATTCGTCATTGTTTATCAGGATTTTCAGGGATGTAGGTGATGTTGCTCTTGATAATGCAACATAAAGTTGACCATGTGTAAATACGGGCTGTGGCAAATAGATGCCAATCCTTTTTAGTGACTGCCCTTGGCTTTTGTTTATTGTCATGGCATAACAAATTTTAATTGGGAACTGTTTACGTTCAAAGGCAAACGGTAGATTAGCAGGTTTGTGAACGAATTTAATGCGAGGTATGTATACACGCTTCCCAGTGCACGTTCCTGTTATAATTGTTGCTTCAATTATGGTTGGAAGTAGTTGTGAAACAATTAACCGTGTGCCATTACACAAACCTTCCCTCTGGTTAATGTTTCTCAGCAACATAACAGGAGCTTTTATTTTCAGCTTGAGAGTGTGAGGTGGGATTCCAGCAAAGGTTAGCTGATTTAGATATTCAATGGGATATAAACCCTCTAACTCTGATGTATATTTGCCATTAGGTTGCATAGCGTCTGTACTTTTATAAACCCTTTCATTGGTCTTTACCATTTCCAGAATTATTGCGTTTAACTTGTCAGCAGTGTCATTTGTGGGACAAACAATAGCCCTTACAGATAGATCGGATGGTGAGGGATTGTCCAGCAGTCTATTTCCATAGACAAAGAGGATTAGGTTTTTCAAAGACTCACTATCTATTGGTATTAAAAGCGAAGGTGGTATTTCTACCCAGGTTGTAGTATGTGGATTGTCTGCATCTGGCACACCTAAAGTTCCATTCCCAATGTTAAGTAGCCAGTCAGCGAAGGCAGCTATGGATAGACCCTCACTTACATCAGTGGTAGTCTGTGTTAAGCGCATGTTGTGATGCAGTGTACAGACCTCAAAATATGACCACAGGTATGAATTTGGAAGGGTTAATGCAATAATCTCAGTTCGGGAACTTTTTGGGGAAACTGGAAGTGTTTGACGGAAGTCACCACCAAGTAAAACTGAAATGCCACCGAAAGGTAGTTTTTCACACTCCAACACATCTCTAAGAGATCGATCGAGGTACTCAAAACATCGGCGGTCGCTCATCGGTGCCTCGTCCCATATAATGAGGGATGTCCGTTTTAGCAAATCTCCAAGTAATGTCCTTTTCTTGATGTCACATGATTTTTTTTTCAGCCAAATTGATTGGGATGTTAAACCGTGAGTGAGCAGTTCTTCCAGAAGGCAAAAGTAGAGATGCAATTCCCGAAGCAGCCACTGCAAGAACGATTTTCCCAATAGACCTGAAGTATGCAAGTAATGTAGTCCATAAAAATGTCTTTCCAGTCCCGCCATGTCCGTACACAAAAAGCAACACCTGTTTTTTGTTTTCTTCGGATATGACAACGGTCTTATAAATACGCATCTGATCTTCATTTAATTGTAGAAACATTTGTGAGTGTTGGTGTTGCAAGGACTCCTTATCATAACTTGACTCTTCTAGCAAGAGACGATTTTGCAGAACTACAATAGTATCCGGATTTGGCACGGGTAAATGGAAGTCAGCTAACGATCTAGAAGGTGTAGAAGATCGGAGTGCATTTTCTAGTTCAAAAAGCAGTTGTTGCTGCACTATATCATCATTCATATGAAATCGTTTATCTGGGAACTCGGTTTTTAGTTTAAGCAAGTAATCATCTATCATCTTCCGCCATGCAACATCCCAAAGTGATTGTGGATTACTTACATCACAAAAAAGCAGTAGATGACAGAAGAGGGAACGTAACTGTGAAGAAGTAGCCCATGATGAAGCTTCAATGAAGGCCGTCAGCCATTCCATGTCCTCACCTATTAACCCTAGTGCGTTACATGCACTTCGAAAAGTTGGATGAAGATGACCGTGCACCGTACGAACATCTTCATAAGATGTGCATCCTTTTTGATGACAGAGTAACATCCGAAGATAGAATAACTCTCCCGAAGATGGATGGACAAACACATGCCTACCTATACTTTTTGAAGATTCTAAAACTCTTTGTCCCCATTCCTTTGATCTAGCATCCCACACGTATCTATTTGGGTAGTCTATATACGTAAGATCTCGACCTTGTGGATCTCTTGCATTGCTGTCAAACCATCCAAGTAGTAGTGTTCTTGCAAAACCAGGATTGCGAAGGATATCTTCTATTCTACCAGCCTCTTTGAACATAACATGTTGCATATTTAGTAAGTGGACAGGCAATATCATGACAGGGGGATTCCGTCGATGGATGTCGAAATTAAAGATTCTCCATGCGGCCTCATGAGGACATATATAACGTGCATCTAGAAAGTTTTGGACTTCGTTCAAAACTCGAACCTGTGAATTTGGATCACCAGAGTCGGCCGCCTCACTCTTTTGAACAACAAATCTAACACGTTCAACCCCTTTTGAAATATATTTGAATAGATATTTGACCATCATATTCCAGCCACAATATTCGACGTTTATATGCGCATCGAACCGACTACACAACCGCTTGTTATATGGGACAACATATCCGTTATCGATAACAATACCATTTTGCATTGTATGACGTCTCACTGCATCCCTTTTGTAGTGTGCGTAACCTTCGTCATCAAAAGTTGTAGCGTCACGAAACGGTTTCGGAAAACGCTTGCTACATTTCCCATCCTTCATACAAGGAGCTTTATTATTTAACGGACCACACGGACCATGGATCATACACGTTGTCACTGTCCGATGCAACAATGCTTCTGAAACAGGATCTGGAAGTTCAGCACTTATAAAGCTATCAATATCAGCAGGTTCTTGGATAGAATCTGATTTCGACACCCACAGAAGTGTGTGACAATGCGGTAATCCTCGCTTTTGGAACTCAATAGTGTACAAATCTGGAGAATAGAAAGATGAGAGAAAAATTTAGGAACCGTAAACAGAAGATATAAGTAGTAGGAAACAAAAACTAACGATACTTACGTGCTTGAACTTCGCCAAAAGTTTTATCTTCTTTTAGAAAGTTAATAAAGGCAGCCACTTTTATCTCGAAAACCCTAGTTATGATGTCAGGTCTATTGTGAGCATCACGCTGACCATAACTTTCCATGTGTCGTCTTATCTCTGGCCACTTGACATTGCATGTAAATGTAATAAAGTATTGTGGATTCCCATACACTCTACAAATCGATAAGGCGTCTTGATAATGACTGTACATATATCGGGGACCACCAACAAATGATGCAGGTAAGAAAACACGTTTACCCACGAAATGGTTCTCTCTATCCCCTTTAGAGAGGGCATCATAAAGACCGGACAAAAATTCGGATCGTAAATGGTCCTGATTGTTTAAAACATAATCTAACCGACCAGCTTCAATACAAGTATAAGCGTCGACAAGGTACTGTTGGAAAAGCCGACCGGAATTGAGTATAAGAGAATACATACCTCGACGTGCATGGATTTGATAACTATAATACATGTTTACCGTGAGGTTCCTAACACTGTTCCCCGTCTCATTATGTAATTTCAAACGTGGAGACCAACCCTCCTCACCAAATGGGAAAAGCAAAGGATATTGTAGTGGCATATAACTTGGGTGAAGTTTACTTACTCGTTGAGGAATACCAGATTTCGAGTGAACAATGATGTCATACTTGCTACAATTACTGTCATCGCCAGTAACAATACAACCTAAACTACCAGCAGCCGGGCAACCATACCTACGATCAGGGACGTCACTGAACAAACGAACTGCATAGGAATCTAATTTCATAGCTTCAGCCATTTCTTTAGCTGTTTTGAATGTCCTAACATATTCATTATGAACTGAAAGGGATTCCATTAGAATTTTTACAACAGCACCATCTAAATCTTTTTTAGTAGAGGTGTGAAAGGCTTTCAACCGATTAGAAACCTCATTAGCAGTATCGACAACATACAACTGCAAGAACCTTGGACCTTTAGACTCATCAGGACACAAAGACCCTATCCAATGACAAACCTGACCAGAAACCTTAAAAACATATGGACCATGACCGTTGTTAATATCCTCGTCAACAGTAGACCCAAAAGACGTCATGGAAAACATACTATTATAACCTCTAATGTCATTCAAAAAATTAGCATCTGTATAAAGGTTTTAAAGTTCAGGAGGAGGCATTCGCGGAAGAGGTAACACAACAGAAGCTCCTTTACAACAGTGATTATACTTAGGACGATTAGTTTGACGACGATTTCCAAGCCTTTCAATATACCAAAACAAAGCTCCACAAAATTCACAAACACATATACAATCCCCACAGTCATAATACGTAGGAAGCGCAACAGAAGTAAAAAATCGAGATCGTTGACTCCTGCGCAAAAGAGGAGCAACAGAAGCAAAAGAGGGAGACCCACAGTCACTAAGCTTACGTTTTCGACAATTATTCATAATCAGAAATCAAGGAAATTAAAAGCTGAAAAAATTTACCATAAGCAAGAAGAAAACAAAAATTAAAGACGCAGTCACAAAAGCCCTAATCGACAAATGATAAAGAAGCAGCAGAAGAAAAATACCTAGAGCAGATAGATAACCGGAGAAGAAAGAAAGCGGAGGCAAGAAAACCAAGGAGCATCCGGTAGACGACACGAAAAAACCACGTAGGCAAGAAAATTAAATCAAATCCACAAAATAATAACACGTGCGACGGAATTATATATTATATAGATATATATAAAAGGATATGGAGATAACAGAAGAAAAGTATACCCAAAACAAAAAAGTATCCAGAAAATACCAAAAAATCGAAAACTTACAATTGTGAAGGTCATGTGGTAGAATTCGGAAAAACAAAAATTGTGGGAGGAAACATAGAGAAAAGGCAGCGACGTGTGGCCAAAATCGGAAAAGCAAAAAGTGACTGTACATAAGCTATTTTCAACTTTCACCCATATGAAGCTACTCCCACTCCTAAACGAACATCTTCCTGTAATTGCAGTGCTTACTTGTGCCAAAATTAAAATCAACAAAATAAGATCGCTGATCTTGATTGAAGACACATCAAGCGAAAATAGTGAAATTATCATACAAAAAAACAAACGTCGCTTTCCTCTGGAACAGACTTTCGGCGAGAGAGAAGAAAGTGGAAGAGCTATGTATGAAATTGGGAATACAAAGACGCTAGTCAATGGCGGTGGAGGACTTTATCACGCCAGTCAATGGAGGTGGAGAATTTTATTGGAGGAAAGAGCGGCAGCAGGTCAAAAACAAAAATAAAGTAGGTCAAAAACAAAAATAAAGTGTCAAAAGTCCAAAAACGGAAGACTTTGGTGACGAAATGTGAAAGGGCAAAAATGTACTGTTGGTAAGGTGCCTCTCGATTTATTATATATATAATTAGTTAATGAATTTTGGTTGGGAGGAACTAAAATGATGTTTATCCATCGATGAAGATCAAAACTCGAATAAGTTTCAATCTTATCAAACTGACCAATTGATGTGGTTTTCTAATAAGCATAAGTAACATCAATTTTACCATTTAAAATCATTCATTAAGATGATTTTGAGAACCCAAAGTAGAGTTCATCTATTGGTTCACACCGCAAAAAAAATCATCAACGAAAATAATTTCAAACTCTTCTTCTCCAATCCTTAAACTTGAATGCTTAAAGATAAAGCAAACACTAAGAGTATGTGCATGTTTATTTAACCAATAATACCTTGTATAGGCTAAACCTATTGTCTAACTTGCACACCAAGCAACTATCTAAAATAATGACATAATTATCTATACTTAAATACATAATTTTCTTGTTATAAGTCAAATATAACTAACTATTATCTTTTATAGTTCTCACTATTTATAGATTGTACTTTGCTTCCAGCCTAGTAGGCTTATGTAATGTCAACAAACAGCCTGGTACTCTTATCTAATGTCAACAACTTGTGTGAGTGAGTATTTTCAAAAAATAGATCGATGTCACATACCCTTTTTTGTTGAAATAACCTCACCTTGACATTTGAAAAATTTTGCATTAAGACTCTCTAAATTAAATTCAAAAAGTACTCATAAGAAGTTTAATTACTGACATGGCTTCTCGGTTAACTAAATGATATCATATGTTGCAAGTGGTGTACACCTAATATATCTTCATTCATAATTTATAGTGTATATGAGTTAAATATTACATTTGAAGAGTAGGTTAACTTTTCATGCCTTCTTTTGCTTATAGCTCTGATTTCCAACCTTATCGACTCTAAGCCTAAATGAGAATGTTAGGTGTGACTATCATAGATGCTCTACAATGTGAGTCATCTAACATTTAACAGTTAGATGTACAGTGTTAAAACTATTGACATCTATGAGTCAAAAATTATGCACATTCCTACCATAGGTACACAAAATATTCTCATTTGTTGAAGTTTATAAAGTTGAAAACTAGAGCTAGTAATATAATAAGGGGTGGAGAGTTGGCATGTTCTTCAAATTGGACACTCTAAAGTAATGAACTCATAAACCCTAAAAGTTGCTAATTAGGATATGCTAGATGCACAATACTTTCCATATATGATGTCATATAGAAAAACAAAAATCAATGTCAATTTTAAACTGAAGAGGTTTAACATACCAAACTATAGAGGTGAAACTATAAAAATACAAAAATATAATGGTTTTTATTTCTATTGCCCTATATTTTATTTTAAACTCTAAAGTAATGAACTCATAAACCCTAAAAGTTGTTAATTAGGATATGCTAGATGCATAATACTTTCCATATATGATGTCATCTAGAAAAATAAAAATCAATGTCAATTTTAAACTGAAGAGGTTTAACATACCAAACTATAGAGGTGAAACTATAAAAATATAATGGTTTTTATGTCTATTACCCTATATTTTATTTTAAACATGAGAACAACTAAATCTATGGGTATTCATAATTGGATATACAACGTTTTTATAGAACTATTCAGTCCAATCATTCACCGGATATTAAATATTATCAATTAATCCAATCAAGTTAACATTAGTCGATCAAACCGAACGGATCCAATTAAGCATTGAATTGGATCGTTTATCAATTGGTTATTTCCTTCGGTTGTATCTAATTGGATCCATCCAATGGATATCCAACATTCAATCTAATCATTCACCAGATATTAGATATTGTCAATTAATCCAATCACGTTAACATTAATCAATCAAACCGAACGGATCCAATTAAGCATTGAATTGAATCATTTATCCATTGGTTATTTCTTCGGTTGTCCGGTATATCTAATTGGATCCATCCAATGGATATCCAACATTAATCTAATTTTACATCCGGTTACAAACGGTCAAAGTACATACACATTTTCAAAAAGGACATCCACTTCGTATATAAATTTAAAAGATTCAATTAAACCCAAAATATTATAATAATAAAGATCAAAAGTAGAGATTACCAAACACACAATCCATAGTTCCGCATATGCATTAATGATGATCGGATATCTAAATGGATTGGTTCGGTTTATAATTGGATCCGGACGGTTATTCAAAAACCGACGATCAAATTTGGAGGTTAAATTTCAAATCGGTATTAATCCGATTACTATTGGATAATATATCGGTCCGTTTAATTTGATCGGGCTTCCAAACAATTGCGTGTCGGGAAAAAAAAGTTTTGGGTGAAAGATAACGGGGATACGGTCGATGAAACCGACGTGGACACAACATAACCACCAGAACAGCAACTGTCATCCTCTTCACTAGCTAGCTCTTAATCACCACAACCACAACAATATATTCTTACTAATTTCCAAAGAATTCGAATTCAAAACCTTTTGTATTATCCTCTACAAACAAAACCAAACCAAGTAAAGTTCGCCGATGAAATACTTCAATTGCAAGAACTAAAATGGCGTTAACAACTCCGATTTCTTCGCCATCACAGTTGATTCAGTTACCAGTGGTTCATCCGCCATCTCTGTCGCCGTACGTTTCATTTAGGGGATACACCTTGATCCGGTCAAAATTCCAAGTGATCGCTCTGCGGAACACTGGGAATTCGGTGTTTCCGGTTCCACCGAAAGTCTCGTCGACTGTTAGGTTTAGGTGTTATGCAAAATCGACGGAGGAGAGAGAGGCCGACACGTTAACAAGTGACACCGATGACGATTCCAGTGAAGAGACTCATCAGACTCCCAATAATGTGAAGAAGGCGGAGGACGGTAGTTCTCGGAGGAATGTATCGTCTTTGTCTGATGCTCTAAACCTTGGGATTCGTGAACCGGTTTATGAGGTCTGTTACGAAATTATCCAATTCCATTTTTGCTTCAGTTGCAGTTCAGGGCTTCAGGCTGGGGAGATTGATATACCTAAAATCACTTTATCCTAATTCTTAAGTGGCAGTTTAGTTTAGCTTATTTCATCATCAACCTCATCGACTTTTCTAATAGAGTTGTATGTTTATTCCTCTAAAGGTTGTAGAAGTGAGTTCAAGTGGAATGGTGTCGACCAGAAAAATCAATAGGCGGGATCTACTAAAGTCAAGCGGTGCGTGGAATGTTCTAATAACATAACTTTTGCTGTTCTACTGAACAAAATTGTAGCTGTTACTTGTCATTCTCTGTTCAATCTATATAGCACTTTTCAAAAATCTATGATGTTCAAGCTTCTTCATATGCACATACAAGCTATTCCTAATTGTATTTCACCTTATTAATCCCTGTGATTAATACCACAACAACTTAGTTAAGATTATTGAGATTACTTTCTCTGCATCTTCACTTAAATAAGGTTTTGGTTGCAGGTCTTCGCCCTAGAGACATTCGCAGTGTTGATCCTTCACTATGGTTGACCAACACAATGCCTTCATTACTGGTATTGCTTTAACTCAAATTATCATCTATGGTGTTTTAGTTCATGCCTAAGAAAGTCAAAATCCTATAGCTTCTTTCTTCATCTCCATTATGAGATGCTCCATTTATCCATTTGCTGCCATCAGCACACCTACATAGTATTATACCTAAGGTGAAATGAAATTGTCATGCTGAATATCTCTTCTTAAAACTGCAAGATAGATCATGGGAATAATCAACTCGTGAATGACTTATAATTGCATTTAGGCTCAACTTGTGATCCATTAGTATTTTTCTTACCACTTATATGACTTGTGTGGTTGATGTGTAGAAGAATTTTGTGTTTTATTCAGGTTCGTGAGAATGCTATACTACTAAATTTGGGCCCTTTGCGGGCAATTGCAATGCAAGAAAGTGTGTTTATATTTAATTACAACAGGTAAGCATTGTTCTCCTCCATATCTCGCCAAATCAAAGGTTAAAGAGATGGTTAACATTGTTATTTTGTGGTTTATTTATGTTAGGAGAGCAGGGAAAGCTTTTATAGATGCATTATTACCTCGATTAAATCCTAAAAGCAGTAATGGAGGCCCTGTAATGCCCTTTGAACTTGAGGTTGGTGAATGATGATTGACTGATTTCTCTCCATGTCTAGATTCTGAGTTTTACAAGAAGTTTGAACTTGATATTTCAGGTAGTTGAAGCTGCCCTGCATTCACGAATACAACGGTTTGAGGATAGACTGATGGAGTTAGACCCACGTGTGAGTATGGAAACATAGTGAGTATATATGTAATTATCTTTTATTTTACAGCAAGATCATATTTATAATTTATGGAAATGATGAGAAGCTTTTTTTTTTTTTTCTGTATGTATGTATTGTTCAGGTTCAAGCTTTACTTGAGGTTTTGCCAAACAAGTTAACTGCTGACATATTGGAGCAACTTCGTATTAGCAAGCAAACCTTGGTATGGATTTACAATTTTACATCACATCAACTTGCCATACATATATAATTGGAATTTTTTTTTTTCTTTTTGGCATTGAAGGTTGAATTGGGATCAAAAGCAGGGGCACTGAAGCAAATGTTGTTTGATATACTTGAGGATTCTCATGAAATACGTCGCCTTTGTATAGTGGGCAGAAACTGCATCCTCAGTAGAAACAATGTTTTGGAGTGCTCTGTCCCACAAGAGAAGCAGATAGCCGAGGGTACTTACTTGTCACATATTTTCAAACTACATTCCCATTCCCATTATTATTGACTGTTGAATATGCTGATTGTTGGAATGATTCTCATTTCTCACATGCAGAAGAAGAGGAAGAAATCGAGATGCTACTGGAAAACTATCTTCAAAGGTAGGTAATTCCACTTGAAGCCCAGAATTGTGATTTATCATTTATGTATGTGTGTCTGTGTGGTTGCATTTGCAGATGTGAATCATGTCATAATCAAGCAGAAAGGCTTCTTGAGTCGGCAAGAGAAATGGAAGACTCCATATCTGTTAACTTAAGGTTTTGTGATCTGTCTGTCTGTGTTGTTGATGGATTTTTACTATTATTATTAATTACTAAATTTTGTTATCAGCTCTCGGAGGCTTGAGGTGAGCAGATTTGAGTTGCTTCTTCAGGTTGGGACCTTTTGTGTTGCTGTTGGTGCTCTTGTTGCAGGTTAAAATTCTCCATCCTCTATTCTATAACTTTTTTTCTTTTAAATAATAAAAACATACTCACTTTCTGTTTGTTTTTTTTTTTTTTGGTTGTATTTGTTATTTGTATTATTGTAGGTATATTTGGCATGAATCTAAAATCCTACCTCGAAGAACATGTGGTATACTACTTTTTTCTTTTCTTTATTCTAAGCATATGGTTAATGGAAAAATCAAATCATATGTCTTATTTCTACCATATATACGCAGTTTGCATTTTGGCTTACAACAGGAGGAATCATATTTGGTGCTGTTGTGGCGTTTTTCGTCATGTACACGTACCTCAGAACAAGGAGAATACTTTAGGCTTAATTTGCAAATAATGTACCAAGTTACAACTTACACCCGTGTCATCAAAGTCACATCACATAAACTCAGATATTATCATTTCAGACTTGAAACAAGGAATTACCATTTTTAGCCTCACCCGTCCAAATCAAGACATGATGCAAGATGACAAAACTCTCAAGTCTAGTATTGTACTTCCCCGAGAAGATATTGCTGATTTGGATCTTTCTTCTTCTTGTGGATATAATTTATTTATTTATTATGTGAGGGAGGCCATACATACTATCATTATTAAAATGTTAATGCTCGAGTGTGAAGTACTTCAATTACTGTTGAATCATATTTTATATATAAATAGAATGGGGGACAAAAAAACAGGTAAATCATCAAAACAAATAGACAAGACATAACTATAAGAGTATCCAGGACAGGGTGGGCATTGATCAGAAATAACACAAAATGAGGGCCCAAACTTGCTGTCAAATAGGACCAAAGAGATTTCAACAGATTGGCAAATAAAAGTAATATTAAAAAAATAATAATAATCCAGATTAAGACATGCGCATATGCATTAATGCATACTCTCATTTGTTTGGTAGCAAAAGAAAAAGAAAATCACGGACCCAGTCCAATAAGATGTACAATTGGTTTGGGATCATCATAAATCATACCAATCCAAGCAAATCCCCCTAATACATAAATTGTACAAAGAATATGCATACAGCCTTAAGAAAATTGGCAATGTTTTCCAATAACCTGATGCACAAAATCCCCATCCACGGTCAAAAATATCAACTGCTAAGCCCAGACAACTGAAAAGTTTAAAAAAAAAACAAAACAAATAAATGTATAAGATATTACTTTTAAATCAAAACCTAAAATGATAAAATACTTACCTTAAGAAGCTTGTTTTGATGGTGTCTTTGAAACTCCACCAATAGCTATGTTCCCAACTCCAGCCTCCATAGCTTCCCTCTCATGTTTCTCTTTACTTTTCTCACAACTCTTATTATCATCATCAACAACAACATCCGCCTTGGGAGTAAGGACCCGAGGTCCACCAGTGAACCATGAATGACTAAGGCATTGAGCAGCTGTAGGCCTTTTCTCAGGGACAAAATCAAGAATAGGAACAAGAAAATCAGCCAAATCAGTCGCTTCTTGTTCACTAAACTCATATTTCTCCTTAAGCACCTTATGCAAAGGCCAAAACCGCAATCGCCTTATATGCCTCAAATCCCCATGTCTGTTGAAAAACTCACGCGAGTATCTCCCACCTAAAGCTATCTGCAAAATCAAGTTTTTTCATCTTATAAACCTTAAACATAAATCATCAAATATCCATACCCACCCAACTCACCTTTCGAGGCATCATTCCAAGAAGTTCCATCATTAGAGCCAAATGATCCTGTAAAAAGTACATACCATGTCATTATATCATAACTCATTATATACTCACAAGTCAGAACAAAAGTAAAACATTAAAAAACTTACCTCATCTCTATCGTAGTTGTCACCACTATGAGGATCAAAGAGGACATCACCAGTTGCAAGCTCAAAGCAAATGCAAGCAAAAGACCATAGATCAGCAGAGGTTGAATATTTGGATCCCAGTAGAACCTCTGGACACCTGTATTGCCTGGTTTGAATATCTCCAGTAAATTGTTTATAAGTCCAACACGCGTTACCAAAATCAACTAACTTGCATTTAACATCAACATCAGCCAACAGCTTTTGTCTTGTTGATCGACTCCCTCTTCCGCGAAGTTGATTCCTTTCCCTTACATCAGGATGAGTCTTGGAGTCATCTTTCACAACTGAAGAAGAAGCATGGTCTTCAATGGAGTCCACCTCATTTGGTTTCTCATTAGGGCAAGAATCAGGATTGATTGAATCGTTGTCTTGTTCAACTTCATCAAGATCTTCCCTTCCAGCACCGTTTTGGGCAGCCTTCTTAGCCTTTTTCTTGATTTTCTTTTTCTGGTTCTTGGTGAGATCGCCATTTGAATTCTTAACTTCTTTAGAAGGCCCGGAGTCAGCTAAAAGATCTTTACTTGAAGAGAGGATGAGGGGTGTGCCTGATTTTGTTCGATCTCTTTCTGGATCAATCATGGATAGAAGTAAAATGTTTTCTGGTTTAAGATCAGTGTGTATAATGGAAAGCTGGCGATGTAAGTAATCCAAACCCCCTAAAATGTGGAAGCAGATTTCTTTAACCTTGTGGAGAGGGACTCCTCGGTAATCTGAATACTTGATTAATGTCAGGAGGTTATCACCCAAATACTCAAAAACCATACAGACATGCTGTCCATTTGGTCCTGAGTGTTTGAAATGATCCAAAAGCTTCACAACAGACTTTTGATCATCTGGATCCCCCTCAGCTATCTGTTTCAATATAGTGATTTCATCCATTGCTGCCTCGGTGTAGTGTTGAGCACTTTTTTGAACTTTTAAAGCTACATATCTCTATAAACCAAATCCAGGTTTTAATTCGTCAATTAGAAAACATCAAGCGATCATAAACAACATAGCAGGTAATTTCAGAAATCAAATACCAATCCTCAAACAGCTAATTTCAGAGCTCAAATTAAACTAATTAGCTTTAAAAGCTTATTCTCTCTGTGCTAATATATCGCGAATGATAAGCTTGAGAATCTTTGTAATGCAAAGAAGCAAGTTTTCTAAAGTAGAGTTTGGCATAGTTGAGGGAAGGAGGAAGTAGTATTAGAATAGAAAACAATTTTGTCCAGAATCAACGAAACCACTGATATTGACTAACGGAAACTCAGGTACAACGAAAGAAGTAGAAGACATACCGATTTCTGAGTGTCCCAAGCGAGCCAAACGGTGGAAAAATGACCCCAACCGAGCTTGCTCTGAACAATATATCTCGAATGCTTAAATTTATCACCAATACGAACAGCATGATAACCTCCGCGCCTGTAATCCTCCGTCCCTTCGTCCTCGGATGAGTAATCACTCGTCTCGCTCCGATCGTCTCCAGTGCCGCCGTTTCTTCTATTATTATCTTCCGCCATCGAACAGAACACAGCTGTACGAGTAGAAGCTCCAACAACGGGCGGAATCAAAGCTTCCAGACAAACCGATTGCGATCGATCTGATATTGGAACCCTAAAAATAAAGAGAGTGTCTCGAACCTTGAAAGTTGAAACTAGGGTTTCTACTTGCCCCCTGGTCTTTGTGTTCTAGTTTCTTCTTTTTGTTCTCGTGTAGATAGAAGATTAGTTTCGTTTTCCCTTTCTTTACAAAATAATCATTTTGACAAACATTCGACAAAATAATAAATAATGATTATTTTTTTGTGGGGGTGTTATCAAATTTTAATTAAATATCTTCTAATCAAAGATTTTATTTTAATAATTAAAATGAACATAATAATGTTCTATGTAATTTGAGATACTGAAAACATGACCGTTTACCCAAAAAAATTTTCCATTAGTTTCTATTGAATGATTGTGGATCTTGCTCAAACCTTTAAAAGAAATCTAAATGATTTAAATAGAATGATTTTAAAACTTGATTATTAATTAGCGATCAAGCAATTCCAAATCTTTATATTATTAAAATTAAAATAAAAACTGAATAATTGAACCTCTTAAATATCTACATATAATCTTTAATGTTTTTTTTTCTAAAATTTTATTGAAATAGTATAATATTAATCCATGGTTGTAATCAATTTGCACATTCTTTCCTTTTCATTTTATCCGTAGGCCTTGAAAATTAGGTAAAAAGATGCATAAGTATCATTTATGTTCATTGGTACTCGATTAGATAAAAACGTGAAAAGTAGAATTAACGTAAGAGAACAACCTCTTTATCAATTTCATAACATTTGTTCATTTAACATTAGATTTGTTTTTATTTATTTTATTTGAGCTTATTTTTTAATAAACTTATATTTATAAATATATGGATTATAAATGAAACATCTTGATTTTGGATATTTTTATATAATAAAATCATTAAGTGAAATCATATTTTATATGATGAAAATATTGTTTATAGTTTATCATCATATATCGATAACGATGATATCGGACAAAAAATGGATTGTGAATTTTTTGTGATAACTCTCAACTCATTAATCCATTTTATCAACTAAAACAAAAGAATCAAGAGGAATCAAATTAATTGGTTTCTTTTTCTTCAAACATGCATTTACAAACTCATGTACCTATGGTTCTTCTTGAAGTATATCATCCATTTCTTGTGTTTTCGGTTCATGCCAATTGCTTACTACACAAGTCACATCTCTGAGTTTTATAAGAGCATTGGGTGTGGATAACAAGATGCAATACCAAATTATGCCACCTCACATGCCACATAAGCAAATGGTGTTATAATATCAAGTGAGGAAATGAACAACAAGATGCAACACCAACTTTTTGAAAATAAATATTTTTATTTTTGTATTTTTTTGCTATTTTGTTTTTTTATTATTTTTTTTGTTTTCATTTTTTTTCTTTTTGTGTTTTTTTAATAACTAATATATTTTTTATAAAACATATAATTTTAAAAAAAAAAAAAAAAAAAAAAACGACATAATATTTAAAATCTAAAATTCCGATTACAATTAAAAAAACATAATTTTAAACCTAAATTAATAACTAAAATACCATTCAAATTACTACTAAAACCACACCAATCCTAATTAACCATTAAAAAAAACATCATTTCCGCCGCATCTTTTGCTCTCGTCTCCACCTCCTCCGCATGTCTTGCAGCGCGCCTCGCTTTGTCGCGTCCGGGCAGTCGTCGTGGTGGGGATATCTCTTGGATGTCATCCGGGATCTCATCGTCATCGGCGTTTGGGTCGATGTTAGTCCGTGCGTCCGACACGTCGACCGAGCTAGAATTGCGAGACCTTTTGGATTGAACCTCCGACGATGTAGGCGTTTTATTCCACTTTGGATCCGCTCGCAACAATTTCCATGATTTTTCAAAGTCGAAAACATGACCCATTTCGATCCGATATTGTTCCTTAGCAGATTTGAACAAATCGAAGTCGTTGGTTCCGCTTTGTTGTTGCGCCTCAAGCCGGTTGTAAATACCGTTGAATTTGCCGCACCGCTTAGTTATCATACCCCATTTGCTGTTCAACATGTCGTTGTTGTGATACAGATTTTTCTTTAAAATAGCGTGAAAGTTGTCGAGCATCGTCCCCCAATAAGCTCGTTTTTTCATTCCATTTCCGCGAAGTTCGTTTTTTGAAGTAGCACACCAAGTCGCCGTCAAAGCGTATTCCTCTTCCGGTGTCCACCATTGTGGAACGTTTATATTTTCTGTTTCTACCGCTATTAATTTCCCTTTTGATTTTCCTTTCCCTTTCCCTTTCTTACTACTTCTCGCTTCCACTTGAACTGATGGTTGTTTTGTAGGCGACGGTTGATTGGTTATTTGTTGCATCGAACCAAAAGAAGAGAAAAGATTTTGTTGTAAATTTGGGTTTTTACCAAATTGATTTTGTTGAACATAAGGTGAATTGGGAAGTTGCAGTGGCGGTGAAGCGAGATTGAAAGCGACACCTTGGTATAAGATTTGTGGTGAACCTTGAGACGACAAAATGTTAAAATAATTTTCATACCCCGCAAATCCGAGAAGCGATGTTGTGTTTGGGTTTGATGATGGAGGGGGGGGGGGGTTGTTTGGGTTTTGCTCCATTTTTTGATTAACAAAGTGTATAAAATATAGAGAGAATTTTTAAAAAAAAAAAATATATGTAAACTTTAAATTAAAAAGATATATATATATATATATATATATATATATATATATATATATATATATATATATATATATATATAAGTAAAAAGGTAAAAAAGTTTTTTTTTAAATTGAATATCGACCGTTTGCAAATGGTCATAAAAAACAACGGTAAAAATAACCGTTTCATTTCGTCATAACACCCACGAGAATTGCTCCACGAGATGCAACGAGTTAGGGGGGGTGTTCCCCCCGTCACGACGGCATTATCATGTGCCACATCATCCGGTTATATCTCGTTGTTGGCCCGTACCGCACCATCTAAGTCTTATAAGCTTGATTTGAGTGAATATTGTATTTGATTTATTACGCCACATGATGGATAGTCATGCACGTTACAGGTAAATTCAACATGAACATTCTTCTTGTATTTTTGTTATTCCTAATTGTGGTTATAACTTTAAAATTAATTATTCTCTCTTTCCTTTTTTTTTTTGTGAAATGTTGCTTCCAAATTTAATAACCTCATTTTCATGTATTATTTTTTCCCTATGAATCATTTGTAGTTTACCCATTGGCAAGGAATATATGTTTAGTATTTGGTATTTCGAGACAATCAATCGGTGTCTTTAATGATAATAGAATCACATCCTCATTAAAAGAGAGAAGTTACAAATGTTCTTTATAGAAAAGCTTAGAGTTACAAACAAGAAGAGAAAAATTAAATACTTGCAAGAACCAAACCCTAATTTAAAGTCTAAAAAGCTCATAAACATATGGGCTAACCCCCCCCCCTCCCCCTCTCTCCAACTCACAATGTCACAACAATAAGCATTGAGAGTTTGTCACACAAAAAAAACAAAATCAAGACGCTGATAGAGCCTTCATAAAAATATATGCAACCTGCAAGGTTGATGGAAGAAAAGGAAGTGATATGGTCTCGAGCTGTAAGTGATGACGGGTGAATTGATAATCAATCTCAATGTGTTTCCTCCGCTCATGGAAAACATAATTTCTTGCAATTTATATCGTTCTTTTGTTATCAAAATGAGGGGGAATAGGTGAAGAAATGTGAACCCCCATATATGCAAGAAGCCACTGTAACTAGATAATCTCACATGTAGTCACATCCATAACACGATACTCGGCTTCACGGAAGATCTAAAGATAACGTCCTGGTTATTACTCTTCCATGAAATTAGGGACTCTCCAAAAAACACGCAAAATCTGGCGGTGGATTTACGATCATGACAATCATCCTCCCAATCAACATCACTATAGGCATGTAACTTAAGAGATGAAGTTGTGGGAAAAAATAAGGTCTGAAAGTGAGTGCCATGAAGATATCTCAGAATACAAAGTACAGCCCCCTAATGAATAGAGGTAAGAGCGGTAAAAAATTGACTGACAACACGAACAACACGAGCAATATCCGGATGAGCAACTGTGACATAAACCAAACTTCCCAAACAGTCCGGTAAAGATTCGAATCGGACAAAGGAACACCATCAATAGGACAGTATTATGTATTGGTTTCAAGAGGATTATCTACAATCCGATTGTTAGAGAGGCATGCCCGTGTAAACAAGTCAAATATATATTTAATATGTGATGTGTGCGAAATGTACTAGTTTTAATCCTACTAACTTAAACACAAAGACAAACACACGAAAGGCAATGTACTTATCGGTTAGTAGTTTAGTTCAGCTAAGTAGGGTATCTAACACAGGGAACAGTAAACAATTAAGATTATTACTAATATTATCTAAATAAAACAAGTAAAAAACTAAGTTTTTTTTCTCTAGTTTTGCAAGACTAGAAACTTAAGCAATAATCAAACACTGAAACAATAAACAATTAACGTCTAAGGAGATAGAAGGTAACTAAATTCAATATTAAAAGAGACTTTTGTTTAGGTTCGAATCATTTATTCATATGGTTGATTTTATGGCAAGTGCAATGGATTAATTAGCATTGGCTACCGATTAGTGTGATTAGGTTCACGTTCGCTATTACTAATTCTTAGAAAACAAATTAATTCAAGCAGTGATCAAGTGATTAAACTAATAAATTTCCTAGTTTATTGATTCGGGTTAAGTAAGACTTCTAGTTAGATAATCAAATTACAAATTCAATTAACTTCTTGTTGATGGTTTGTCACACAAGCTCACACATTAACTTACCTACTTTCTAATTAACTCTAGTTTCACGTTCGCTATTCCTAGGCATATAACAATGTTTTCACATAAATCATGATGAGATAAGCAATTAAGAGATGTTCATGCAGCTTAATATACTTGTAATTAACAGAAAATAGTTGTTGTTAACACATAAGGTTCTTTAACAAGCTTAACAAAGAAAAAATTCACCAAATTAAATTACTCCAACCATAAAATCAAGTCATATTCATAAAGTCATCTATCCTAAACAGAAGATACGAGTTTTAGCTCATGTCCACAACAAATAACAACATAAATTCAAATTCTAATGATTCAAACATGATTCAAAACAAAGATTAAGAAAAGAAGAATAATTATTTGCCTTTGATCTCTTATAAATTGCTTCTTAGGTTGAATTCTCGAAAACTAGAGCTCCAAGAACCCTTCTGGCCTCCAAAAAACCGTCCAAGTCTTCCCCCATTAGTTAGGGTTCGAATGAGAAGCGTTTATATATATATATATATATATATATATATATATATATATATATATATATATATATATATATATATGGTAAGCAGGGGCGACTAGTAGAGTCCAGTGACCGACTCGATGAGTCCATCACTTAAAATCCGTGGA